TTTGTAAGAGGCTCAAGGCAGACTTGACTGTCAGTAAGGAGCTCTTGGGTGTAGCTGCCATGCACGGGACGACGGCAGGGAGGGACATTAGTGATGCAGAGAGGTGACAAAAATAGCTTTGAACAAAGTTAATGTAATAACTTGTGTTTGATGATATTTGTCTTTGTTATTTTCTTTAAAAGTTTGATCTTTGATAGAGTAATGTGGGTTTCTTAACCCTAAATTAAAATGATTTATGTTATAATAACAGAAATGTGCTTGAATATCATTTTAATTTATATAACTGCATGTACAATATTTTTACACTTGAATAAACAATAATCAAAAGCAGAGACAGTTATTTAACAATATGTTAGGAGTAGTTACATTTACACAGTCTTACAGTCCCTTTGAGGGAAACCATGATGCTGATGTGGCCCGGAGTGAAAATTAGTTTGACACCCCTGCACTAGAGGTTTAAGTAAAAGTCATCAGGCTGTGGAAACGTACTTAATGAAAAATATTGAAAATCAAGGTAGTACCACTAAAAAACACATCTTTTAAATCAGTCTGATTTCATCAGACAGGTTGACGCTTCACTTTGGAGTTTGAGTTCATCGCCAAAACACGAGGATGAGCAGTTTTGATATCGAGGGAGAGAAGCCTCTTTCATGCTCAAAACATCAGTTACACTCACTCAAGTCTCTTGACTTGAGCGCAAAACAGATTGATTCTGTCCTGCACACTCTCAAATGTTCATTTACAGACTGCAAGGCGCTCCAGTTTGTTTTGTCGTTCAGTTCTTTTTTTGTCGGATTTAATTCCCTGTAACAATCTATTGAAGAAGAAAGGACAAATAGTCCTCACTTTCTGAAAAATGTCCTCATTCTAAAGGACTAAAACTCATATCGGGTCTCGCAGAGGTAGACATAAGAGCGTACACCCACACACACCGACTGGGCTTCTGCGTGGTGTCTCTGCAGGCTGTGAATGATGTACTGGTTAAATGAGCAGCTTTATCAGAGAGGTGGCGTTATGTCATCAATATCCTCTTATATAAATGTCAGCTGGGCCATTTTTACTTACAGGTATCTCCCACCCCGCTGATTACATTAGTCTGTCAGCCTCTCTCCCCCGGTCGATCACTTACCTCTCTCACCCTTCCTTCATCCTCCCTTTACCTGCACTCCATTAATCCCTCTCTGCTCTGAATCTGTGCCTTTTTGTTCTTTTTCTTTTTCTATGTTTCCTCTCTCTCTCACCTTACAGCTGTAATGGAGGTCAGGGAGCATCAGTAGCTGTGTTACCTACAACTGGGGGCGGGGTGCAGACTTCTTTATTGAGTCTTAAGGCCTTTACCCTGCAGGGGCATGACCAATAAAACGAAACCTAAATGCAAAATACTCGCCTGTGAATATTCCGCATCAAAACTATTCATACCAGCAGTGATGTGAATTTACGACAGTTGCAACACTTTCTCAATAAGGGGTTCCAATATTAAGGTTTTGTGTGAAAGATTTGTCTTTATTACGCAAACAAAAAAAAAAGTTTTGAGAGCAAATTTCTCACACTGCAATCAAAAATCAAGTTTGTAAGTGAAAATATAGAAACTGAGAATAAATTATTTGTTAGTTTTGCTTATGAAACTAGAATTTTTGGCTGCAAATCAGAAACCTACGCTTTCAAAACAAAAACCTACACTACGAGTTGAGTTTGGATGTGGTGGGTGGGGCATACGCTGCTGAATGAGCCAGGAGTTTCTATTGATGGGTTCACTTGGATCCCGGTATCTGCTTCCACTGTAAACTCTGACGAGAGGTTACTGTGATGAGCGACATGGAAGTGAAGTTGACATTATATCGCTCTGTTTTGTCAAAATTATTTTAAATGTAGTAGCACTTCACTTTGTTTTCATGTTGTTAGTGTCGTGGAGTCTCTTTTTAAAGAACAACATGGAGGGCTGCTGTGTTGACATGAAGCCTCACTTTCTCGGTTGGAGAAAACCAAGCTCATAGGATTTATTTTAAATTGTGTCATACATGCGTAGCTAACCTTAGCTAACGTCGTCATGCCTCAGGTAAAGTGCATGTAACGTTACATGCGTTAACATACGTTACTCCCTTACCGGGAGCTTATAACATCACGTTTGTTAAAATGATTGGTTAAGTTATGTGACATTTGTAGCTGACAAGCTAGCTAACGTTAGCGGCAGCTTGTCTGCCTGCATCCGGCCATAGTTAAGCCTTGGAAAGTAACTTTTAATGCGTTCACTTTCAAACTTCAGAGGTTGACTAATATCTTACTGAAATTGTGACGATTTTACAGAAAATTTATACTTCATATTATGTCCATATAACAGACCAACAGGAGCTCAGGTAGACGGGTTGTCAACCTGAAATATCACTTTAAGTCCGGTAACGTTACAAACGTTGAGATTAACTACACGGATAAACTGAATTTGAGTATTTTGCTAATTCTTTTTTTGTGGTGTGAAATAAAACTAACTCTACATTTTGTTTTGTTACAGGGAGCCAGGTGCTGAGGGGGAGAACGACAGCCTCTTCACCGGGGACAAACATTCAGCAACCGTAGCTTGGAATTAAGACATAGTCCTTTTGTAATATCTCCATTTGACCATCTTGTAATTAAGGTTACAGTTACATTAGCTCTCATCCTATATAAAGCCTTTACTAATAGGACAACCAGTAGAGAGGACAATACACTTCTGATGTGTTGCTGTCACAGAAATGACAGTTGTGACCGTCACCTTTTTCTTTTATTTATTTAAACCCACAATAAGACACCCATGTAAATGATTTCTATGTGAATTTGTGTATATTCTGCCATGTAAAATGTGTCAATCTTCTAAGTTTGCATCCTTGTGTTAACATTATTGATAAATGTTTCTCTTTTCATCATTTCCTCAATGTAATTTGGACAATTTTGGAGAAAATAATCCTGCAGGGTAGGATGACCGCCTTGCAAGAAAAAAAGGGACAACTTATAGAAAAAATATATAGTATGTGCATATGTGTTACTGCAAGTTAATAAACATTTGTTTTGCTGCTGTTGTTTTTGTTAACTGTCCTCTGCCTTAGGATTACAAGTATCCAGGCTCTTTTCTCTACTAGAAAGATTAATTAAGAAATAAATAAATATATATGTGTGTATATATATACATTTATGAATATATATATACATGTATGTATATATACACATGTATGTATACATGTATACATATATATTTATATATGTGTGAATGAAATAAAAGTTATTGATAAATACATCATTTTATTTACAAGAGGTATGAATGATTGAAAATTAGTTATTTCACACAGCAACTGATTGAATTATTAACTGATTATTAATTTAGAAAAACTATATTATGAAAAGGAGCTATGAATGAATTATTGAATATATGATTGAAAAACGGATTAAAACTAAAAATCTTTACAGTATATATATATATATATATCTATATACAGTATAATCCTTCTGAGCAGGCATTCTAGGCACGGGAGCAGCAAGGGGGGGAGCTGGTGACGCAAACAGGAAGTCCTCTGTAGCATAGGCCGTCTCATTTCGGAGACCGCTCGGTCCAGCCTTCGTGGTCCTCAAAGGACGAGGCCGACGTGGACCATGAGGGCTGGGTCCACCGAAGGATGCATCCACTGGATTGGGACATAGACAGTGTTTACAGTGGAAGCAGATACCGGGATCCAAGTCGGACCCACGAATAGAAACTCCTGGCTCATTCAGCAGCGTATGCCTCGCCCACTACATCCAAACTCAACTCGTAGGTTTTCGTTTTGAAAGCGTAGTTGTTGTTTTTTGAGAGGGTAGGTTTTTGATTTGCAGCCAAAAATTCTAGTTTCATCAGCAAAACTAACACATTTATTCTCAGTTTATATATTTTCACTTACAAACTTGATTTTTGATTGCATTGCGAGACATTTGCTCTCAAAACATTTTTTTTTTGTTTGCGTAATAAAGACACAAATATACCTTCATATTCCAATAGATATGTGCGGGCCAAGAACCAACTACCAGGCAGTAGTCAGTCTGAGGTAAACTGTTGTATAGCCGAAAGCTACTGTAACCTGTTTTAGTTTCCTTTTAGAAAAATGGTCTAATTGAATCTGAGTTGTCTCTGGTAAATGGTTACGCAGTGTATATATCTAGGGCTTTTATTGGGAAAGATAAGAACAGAAGGAGTTGATCTGGTCTTGCGCTGCCTTTGTCAAGGTTGAAAGGAGTAATGAAGTTTGCTGTCTTGACTCGGACTATGCAGCCTCCGTGTTGTTACCAGGCGGCAAACCTCCGGTCCTGCGCGTGCAGTCACAACGTCTTTTAACTTGAATTCTCTCTACTGACCAGCAGGGGGCAACTCCTCTGATTGCAAAAAGAAGACTGATTGTATGGAAATCTAGAAGAATATCACTTTAAATCTCACTTGATTTATTCCGTTAGTAAACATGGTAAACATGAGTTTATGGTCTTAATCTCTAGTTTCAAGTCTTCTTCAATACAGTATGTTGATTTAGTAAATTATGGTCCATTTTGAGTCAAATAGACCATAAAGCGGAGTATGCTTTGGGGGGGGG